ACTAAATCCATTCGAGCATTTGCTGACATTTGCTCGTTGAGCAGTCTCTCTTTCAGGTCCTCTACTTGTTTCCTGAGCTCAACATTCTCTTTTGTTAGACAAGCAACCTCTTCTCCTTGAGAACAACTAGAACTGGGTGCCTCATGCAGCTGACTTAACTGAGTCTCAAGTATATCATTCCTTGCTTTTAATTTCCTTATCTCCGGGATAGCACTGTTCTGAGCATTGATCAGCTGAGATATGGTAGAAGTGCTTCCAACCCCTCCAATTTTCTCAATACACTCACATTCTTTAAGAGTAGCTTTGGAGAAAGTTTGCTTCTTTGTGCCCACTTTAGCTTGTCCCAGAGGAACCTTGAATTTCTTAAAGACCTTGGTGAGAAGGAACCCATACGGCAGCCTATGATTACCATCTTTAAAGTCTGCCACTTTGTTCATGTGCTCTATCATAATCCCAGGCAGATTGATGGTAGTGAAGTTGTCCAGTGCTTTCATAAGGAACATGTCTGCACGAGAGGTGATAGATCTTCTCTCAGCTCGAGGCAGCAATACCTTATTCACCATCTTATATAGCAGTTGGTATACAGGAAGGAGGGCCTACTTCTGAACCCGTTCCCTTCTGAACTACTCTGTCCTTTAATGTGGCATTTCTGAAATTTTGAGAACAGGATCCATGAACACTAGACATCCCTTCAGCAGACACACCAAGAATGGACCCCAACAAGGCAGAGTCCATCACCATATCAACTCCATTTGCCAACACACAGATGTGATCATCTTCAACTTTAAAAATGTCAGCAAAAAAGCTTTGAACTTCCTCTTCATACACCATTGGAGCATCATTTGTGAACAAATGTGTCCATTGTTGGAACTCACAGATCTCAACCAGCTGTCTCATACCAGCCTCCTCCAAGATATCAGGGGCAAATGTGCGGCCCCAAAACACCTTTTGACTTCTTAACCTCTCTTTCCCAGCACTCCTTGGATCACCCACTATGGCCTTCTTTGAGGAACCAGGTTCCTCATCCATATCAGCTTTTCTCTTAGTAGACTTGCAAACATTCTTTCCTTTTTCATCAAACTTCACAGACTTTTCACCCAATTCTTCCATCACCCTGGCAACAGACTCTTCTACCAATTTATCACCAGATGTTTTCACCATATTTTCACTAGCAACAATATCATCATACTTGTTCAGATTTTCAGCAGACACAGAAGATCCCCTTTTAGGCTTGGGGAGACCATGCTTCTGTGAGCGCTTTCTAGTCAAGGAACCAGGTTCCTCTTCTCCTTCATCATCCACATTCACAACTGGCACTATCTTCTCGCTCACAACTTTCCCATCTTTCACTAATTTTCTTCTTCTTGACTTAGCTTGGTTGTTCTTAAGTGTAGACTCAAGAGCCTCCTTCCTTTGCAACCTTGTAGTAGGTCACTTAGGAGTAGACTCTTGAGCAATCATTGGTTTACGCCTAGTCAAGCTAGCAATTAGCATATCATTAGAATCCTCTTCATTATCGCCTTTTTCTTCTCTAGACACAGATCTTTCCTTAGGCATCACCACACACAAAGGCTCAGCATCAAAATGAGGAGAGGGAGCAGGGTCAACACTGACCTGGGGCTTTTGAGAGGACCATTGAATTAGATCCTCCTGGGAGGAATCAGGTCCCATATTTGGTACCCTAGTAGTATTGTCTTATGCTGATTGTTCAACAAGCACAAGCTCTCTACCCTCTTTCATAGTCTTAGACTCTTCCCCCTAAGTCCCAAAACCATCATCACCTCCTTCTATAACAACCCTTCATGAGCTATGGACATCATGTTCTTTATTGTCTCTTTTTCTTGTACATCCATGGAGAGCTTAGTAGAGGAAGGAGTGTTACCTGTGGACACAAGATCAGGAGCAGTCATTGTTGAGTCAAACTTATCGGAAGTATCAATTTGATCTACCTTTGACCCCTCTTTCATAGGTGAACTTGAAATTTCTTGATCTTCTTCTTAGTCAGCAATGCTCTGTTCATCCCCCTTTTTCGGCTAAGTAGGAGAAGGGCTCTGGGCTACAAATCTTTTGGGAGTTGAGATTTTGCGACTCCTATGAGAACCAAAACTCGAGTGGGTAGGAAAGGAGACAGAATATGGGGGTGACACTGTCCTAGGGTTTTGGTTAGCAGTGGTGTGGGGTGAGGAGTCTGATATCGGTGTTTCAACAGGTGAGGACTCAATGGGGATGTCACTTGGAACACTCGAGGTTGTTTGATTTTCGGCCATGGTGAGAAGAAGAGAAGGGATTTGACAGTTTGAAGAGAGGCAGAAGAATGGGGTTTTGAAAATTTGATGGGAGGAGTTGTGACAGTGATAGATTAAGAAAGGGTGGCAGTTTTGGGAGTCGGGTCAATTATTAACTGGTGAGACATTTGGGTTCACAAGACGCAAGGAAAAGAAACTGATGCACTGTTGATGTGGCACTTGTTTTAACCGTTCAAAATTGTGAATGAGAGAACAGAGAAACTACTAACATGTGTCAGGAGAACCAGGTTCCCTGACTAATCTTGCATTTGTAACCTTTGCCCTTTTTACTAGCGCGTACTACATCAACTCCCTATTTGCTCTGTAATCATCATGCGTGTCTAAATGTAACAGTATAGAGATAAGTTAGACTTTGCCAGAAAATACTTTTTAGCTAATCTTACATGAACATGTCTTTCATAGCCAATCATCGAGGGACCAGGTTCTCAATTGGGCTTTATCAATCCCAGTGCCAGACGATTTCTTTCAAAATGTTCTCTACTCAAGGCCTTGGTAAATATGCCTGCAATCTGATCTTCTGTGCTGCAGAATTTCATGCAAATGAGCCCCTTTTTAACATTGTCTCTAAGGAAGTGATGATGCACGTCAATGTGCTTGGTTCTCTTATGTTGGACTGGATTTTTGGCCATATTGAGTGCACGTGTATTGTCGCATAGGAGAGGCACACAATCTGAGAACACTCTAAAGTCTTCTAGGTGCTGCTTGATCCACATCGATTGAGCACAACAAGAAGCATCTGCTACATATTCTGCTTCTTCAGTTGAGAGTGCCACTCAATTTTGCTTCCTTGTACCCCACGAGATTAGGCAAGAACCCAGGAAATGTGCCATTCCAGACGTGTTTTTCTTGTCCACCAGATATCCTGCATAATCAACGTCAGATACCCAATAAGATCAAAGTTGTCACTTGAGGGATAGTAGAGAACTAGGTCCTGTGCTCCTTTGAGATATCTCAATATTCTCTTGGCAGCCTTCAAATGAGATTCCTTTGGATTGGATTGAAACCTTGCACAAAGGCCCACGCTGAACACAATGTCTGGTCTGCTTGCAGTGAGATACACGAGTGACCCTATGATCCCTCTATACATGGTCTGATTTACAGGGGAACCAGGTTCATCCATGTCTAGATGGGTAGCTGTGGCAATAGGGGTGACGATGACTTTTGATGCTTCCATGTCAAACATTTTCAACAATTCCTTGATTTACTTCTACTGACTTATCAATGTTCCCTTCTGAGATTGCTTCACTTGAAGTCCTAGAAAGAAATTTAATTCTCCCATCATACTCATCTCGAACTCACTCCCCATGAATTTTGCAAATTCTTCACAGAGAGTCAGCTATGGCTCCAAAGATGATATCATCAACATATACTTGAACAATGAGCAGGTTCCTCCCTCGTTTCTTCAGAAAAAGAGTGTTGTCAATTTTTCCTCTTGTAAATCCATTTTCTAGAAGGAATTTTGACAACCTTTCATACCAAGCCCGGGAAGCCTACTTTAGCCTGTACAATGCCTTGTACAGTTTTAACACATGCTCAGGATGCTCATGACTCTCAAAACTAGGAAGCTGCTTGACATAGACTTCTTCTTTCAGATAGCCATTTAGAAATGCACTTTTGACATCCATTTGGAACAGTGTAGACTCCATATGAGATGCAAAGGCAATAAGAATTCTAATGGCTTCCATTCGAGCAACTGGAGCAAATGTTTCATCATAATCGATCCATTCTTCCTGATTGTAGCCTTGAACTACAGGCCTTCCCTTATTTCTTGTTGTATTTCCAAACTCATCAAGTTTGTTCCTGAATACCCACCTGGTTCCTATGATAGTTCGATCTGTAGGTCGAGGGACCAGGTGCCATACCTTGTTTCTTTTAAATTGATGCAGCTCCTCTTGCATGGATGTGATATAGTCTGCATCTTTTAACGCTTATTTGATGTTTTTGGGCTCTATTGAGAAAGAAAGGCTAAAAAGGCAAGTGAATTTCTGGCTTTTGATCTGGTTTGAACACCCGAGTCAAGAGGGGTAATTATGTTGTCAAGAGGATGTGAGCTTTTGTGCTTCCAGTTTGGTACCTGAATCTTATTTGTAGAGGACCCAGGTATATCTGTCTGAGGTTCTTGGCCGCTTCTTACTTCAGCAAGTGGAGTACCTTGGACTGCATCAACAACTATATTTTCAGCTTCAGTTGTTGTGATCGTGTGACCTGGTTCCTCTCTAATGGATGGAGATGTATTTGCATCGTCTTCACTGGATTTCTTGACATGACTCATCATGTTTGCCTTTTCATTTTCCATGTCAATAACTTCACCTAGAACAGATAAAGGTTTTCCATCTTGGTCAACACGTCTGTCCTTCTCACATGAGAGGTGAGATTTATCAAAGATCACATGTATACTCTCTTCAACACATTGAGTCCTTTTATTGTATACTTTGTAAGCTTTTCTTTGGGATGAATATCCCAGAAAGATTCCTTCATCACTTTTGGCATCGAATTTTCCAAGAGCTTCCTTTTCATTGTTGAGGACAAAATATTTACACCCAAAAGTCCTTAGATGTGTCAGCTTGGGCTTCCTTCCATTCAGCAGTTCAAATGGAGTTTTTTTCAAAAGGGACCTGACCATGCACTTGTTCACCAAGTAGCAAGCAGTATTGACAGCTTCTGCCCAGAAATTCTTTGCGATCCCACTTTCAATCAATATTGTCCTTGCCATGTCTTCAAGAGTTCTATTTTTCCTCTCCATAACACCATTTGTTGAGGTGCTCTTGGAGCCGAAAAATTGTGAGTGATACCATTTTCAGTACAGAACTCATCAAATTTAGCATTGTCGAACTCTGTCCCATGATCAGACCTGATGCAAGCTACATTATTACCCATCTTCACTTGAATCTTTTTGACGAAGGCAACAAACACTTCAAAGATTTCACCCTTGGTTCTGAGAAACAGAGTCCAGGTGAATCTGGAGTAATCGTCAACTATAACGAAGATATATTTCTTTCCTCCCCTGCTTGCCACCCCCATGGGTCCACATAGATCCATGTGAAGAATATCAAGTGACCTTGAGGTACTGACTTCCTTTTTGGGCTTGAATGAGGATCTGACTTGCTTGCCTTTTACACATGTATCACACACTTTGTGATCCTTGAAACTTGACTTGGGAAGACCACGAAACAGGTCCTTCCTGACCAATTTGTTCAGAAATGTGAAGCTTGCATGACCCAGCCTCCTATGCCATAATTCAACAGCATCATCAATAGCACTTAGACAGTTGAGATTACCATTCTGCAGACTCAAAATCAGCAACATAGATATTTTTGTATCTTTTTGCTACTAGCACTACCTCACTAGTCACTAGGTTTGTGACTGTACATATTTTTGACACAAATTCCACCTTGTTTCCCTTGTCACGGATCTGGGAAACACTTAGCAAGCTGTACTTCAACCCGTTCACATAGTACACATTTTCGATTAAGTGTGAGAGAGACTTTCCAATCCTTCCAACTCCTAAAATATATCATTTCTTTCCATTTCCAAAGGATACACTCCCTCCTTGCAGGGCTTTAAGTGAAAGAAAATCATTTGTACTTCCAGTCATGTGCTTTGAGCAGCCACTATCCATGTACCATTGTAGGCTGCTTCCTTTCACTGTTCCCTGCACAAGAAAATCAGGAGTTAGACTTAGGAACCCAAACGAGTTTGGGTCCCTTGTAATGAGTAAATGGGTGAATGAGGGATCTTTTGGTCCAACCAGGCATCATGCGTTTTTTATATAAGGGGCCAGGTTCTCTACCAGTAGTTATGTTTTCAGCGAAAACTTTGTTTTTCTATTGTGGCTGAAATCTGGCCTTACAATTTTCTTTAAAGTGCCAGTGTTGCCACAGTGAGTGTAAAGACAATTACCAGGTACAGTAACGTACTTGCTATGAGGGTTGTAGGGAATATTTTCCATTTGGAACCCAATCCTCTGCCTGTTTCCCCCATTGTTGGTGTACATGGCAGTGATAGCATCAAAGGACCAGGTCCACTTGAGTGAGTTTTCAAGATCACTCTTCACTCTTCCTAGTTCTTCATGAAGTTGTTTGTTTTTCTCAAGCTCAACACACAGACTAGTCTTCATTGAATTTAACTCACTTTCAAGCTTAATGTGTGTCTCGCTTGCAACTTCCTTTCCCTTTTGAGAATTTTCAGGCCTACTTTCTATTTTAGGTTCCCCAATTGTTTCCTTCAAGTCCACTACCACCACTAATAGGTCATCTCTCTCATGCTCAATGTTAGCAACTCTCTCAGCTAAGACTTCTTTTTCCTTTCTTACACACTCAAAGGTCTCCTTTAGGTCTACCACAACGACCATTAGATCATCTTTTTCATGTTTTATATTTGCAATTTTTTCATCTAAGGCATCCTTCTCTTTTTTCAGGTTCTCAATTGTTTCCTTTAAATCAACAACAACGATTACTAAGTCGTCTCTGGTTTGTTCTGCCTCTTCTAACTCCACAGTCAAAGCATCTTTATTATTTATAAGACTGTGATAAGCATCAATTAACACATTTGCCAAAGACATGAGTTTTTTAGGAGAATAAGATTTCAGATTTCTCTGAACATCCAGAAAATTTACCTCATTATCGTCGTCATCTTCATCATCATCAGACTGAGCCATCAAGACAAAGATTGAGTCATACTCAGTTGCTTCACTTTCCACTGCCATCATTGAACTATCATCATGATCATTTTCTTCTTCATATTCGCTAGAGGAGTCTCCCTATGCAGCAAGAGATTGCTTTACAATATTGTCAGCGGCATTTTTTCTCTTGAAGTGTTTATCAGGAACCGGGTTCCTCTTGCCTGCTTTGTCAAAGTTGTTTTTGTACTGATCTTGATTTAAGAGAGGGCATTCCTTGATGAAGTGTTCTGGCTTGCCACATTTATGACAGAGGTCATAATATTTTGACTTGCTAGAACTTCCCCTTTTTGGAATGCCTCCATTCCTGCGAACCATCTTCTGGAATCTTCTTATGAAGTAAGCCATATCACCATCCTCACCACTTGAATCATTGATGTCTGTCTTGAGGACCAGGTTCTTCTCCCTTTTGGATTCTCTTCTTTCATTGTCCTTCTTCTTCTTCATTTCATATATTTTTAGATTGCCAACAAGTTCATCTATGGTCAGTGTATGCAAGTCCTTCGCCTCTGTAATGGTGTTCACTTTGCTTTCCCAAGAGCTGGGCAGAACACTAAGGATTTTCCTGACAAGTTTGTTTCTTGGAATAGTTTCACCAAGAGAGTGAAGCTCATTAATGATGGAGGTGAAGCGAGTGTGAATATCTTGGAAGGATTCATCATCTTTCATCCTGAAGAGCTCGTATTCAGTTGTGAGCATGTCAATCTTGGATTGCTTAACCTGTGTTGTTCTTTCGTGAGCTGTCTGAAGAGCCTCCCAGATTTTTTTTGCTGATTGGCATGCCGATATCCTGTTATATTCATCAGGACCAATGTCACAAATAAGAATTTTCTTTGCACGAAAGGTCTTTTCTATGGCCTTTCGCTCAGCGTCATTGAACTACTTCCTCGTCTTGGGAATGGCTACAACTGGGTCGCCAAGATTCTTGGTGAGAACAAAGGGTCCGTCACATATGACATCCCATAGCTCTGAATCTTTAGCCATGATGAAGTCGTGCATCCTAGTTTTCCACCATCCGTAATACTGTCCATTGAACCTAGGTGGTCTGTAAGTAGACTAGCCTTCTTCGAAGTTTGGAGGAGCAGCTATGAGGATCCATTCTAGGTATTAACCTGATAGAAAGAACCTGCTCTGATACCAATTGATAGAATATAAAGGTCCACTAAACTCTATAGAGAACCAGGTTCTCTATCAGTTCCACTAGAACACACGCACACTGCAGTAAGTAGATGACAAGAGGATTTTTACGTGGAAAATTCCCAGCTCAACGGGATTAAAAATCATGACCTATCCTTGTAGGATTTCAACTTCACTACTTAGAAACTTTTAGATTACAACCTCTGCAACCTAGGAATTAATCTCTTAATCCCTCACTAACTTGTAATACTCTATTACAGGTCACTTTGTAATAACTCTATTACAAAAACTTTACAACTCGACTAACTCTAGTCAAGACTCAAACACAAAGGTTTAAGATTTACAAAGGGTTTCCTACATAATACTTCTAAACAAGCAAAGTAGGAATTACAATTGAAGAACTATTACAAAGTTACAACTCAACTAAGGACATACAATGACTTGCTGTGGGAAACTGGTCCGTAGTAGTGTTGTTCTTTATTCTTGATGCACTTGAGAATTGATTGCCTGATGATCAATGACCGTAAGAGTGCTCGAATGAATTCTCTAAGTGAACAAGTGATTAGTTTTACCTTCCTTAATGTTAATAGTGCATTTGTGACATCACTAGGATGATGTAAGCAAGGTAGGTAAAAGACACTCCCCATAAAGTTGACTGCTGCACTGTTTTTGCACTGTAGCGTGTGCAGGCAGCAACTTTACAGCTGGGGCAATTAACTTGTACAGTTTCCTCGGGAAACGATAGTTATCTGTTCCCTCAGTTGTTCCTCTGACTCTGAAGAGTCGAAGCATATTCCAAGCTGGAACCTTTCGATCTTATGGTCTTGAGGATATGTAATTGATTCCTTATCTGGTTCTTGATAGTAAGTTTGTTAGATCATCAAAACATAAAACAAGAACTTGTAACCTATCAGTTTATGAATTCCAAATACGATGAGATGAGATGGCTAGTTAAGGAGTATTCTTCATTTGTGCATTCTCAACACTGATCATTATATTTCTTCTACTATCTGCAGGTCTCTTTGGGTAATGACTCCACCACCCGTGGGTGATGCACAACCTTACAGCTTTCAGGATTTGAAAGATATGACGGACAACTTTGACCGAGATCTCTTAATCAAAGACACTATGCACGGGAGATTGTTCTGAGATCATGAACTCGGAGTTTCTATCAAAACATGGGAGTTCTTTGTTCCATGTGGCTCGTCTTACTCTGACCATCCAGCTAGATTTTGTGTATGTTGGCATGGTTTAATTTGTTGGATTTCATTCTCTCTTTCTCTATCTCTCATCATTTTTTACTAAGCTATGTGGAAAATTTGCAGAATGAGCTTGAAATACTGACCAGTGAAAACCGTCATTCAAGTTTGATGAAGTTAAAGGGGTTCTGTTTTCAGTATATACTTGCAGTAGTATATGATGAAATACCAACTAAATATTAGGAGGAGGTGCTTCATTCTGGTACTGGAGCTACTTAGGGAATTTTCACCATGTATAATTGATGACTAAATTTACTAGTTTTGGTGTGCTTTTAACTTGTCATTTGTTCCTTGGGCAGACGAAAAGTTTGGATGGGATGATAGAATGAAGGTGGCGACTCAACTTGCGAGCCTCTTTGCCTGGTTGCCTGACAAGCGATTTGCATTTGGTAGTGTCAAACCTTCTAGCATAATGATTGACAAGGTAACAGCTGAACCTTAATTTTAGACCTCCTTACTCGTTGATGCTTTATAAGTTCCTGTTCAATTGGCTTGCAGGACATCAACATAAAAGTTTTCGACTTTGGTCTCCTTGCTCCTTTAGAAGAGGATAACGGAGTTTCCATGGATTATCCTCTTTTCGCTGATGCTTCCGAGGCTAGACGCGGTGCGTCTCTTTAATTTTATTGTCTTATTTAGTTCAATGTCTGTACTGCTAGAGAACTTATATAATGGTGAGGAATTTATGGTCAATATCACCTTTATTCTTTTAACTGATTACTAGAACCAACTAAGCTATAATGCTATATGTTACCAATCCTTAAAAAAAGCGGCTAATGCTAGTCTGACTTGTGAAGAGGAACTTTTGTCTCTGTAGTTGTTATTAAACCAATATACAGATGAGACACTTAAACTTTTTCTTTAATCAGCAAAAAATGAATTTCATTGATGTATACAACACTTAGATGGTGCTGCTGTTAGTACTTGAAAAAGGTGCAAAAGCAAGAAGAGAACCTACAAATACTTCAAAAAGGTGCAAAAGCAAGAAGAGAATCTACAAAAGTATTGACAATAGGTCTAACAGTGAAGCAATGTCAGTCTTAAGATTATTCCTCCTAGACCACAGGTGTAAACTTTTCTGGAACACGTGGAGCGAATATGCTTGATCAATAAATTTGCATCTACTGCAAACTTTCCAGTTCCTTCTGAAGCAAGCCTGTGACATCTGCAGTATTGACAATATTTACCCTGTTCAAAGTTAATCTGTTGAGAAAGTTTTTACTCTTATCATCCATTCCAAGATCAGTGATTTCTAAAGACTTCTCCACAGCAACAATGAAGGTTCCTAATCATATTAGGAGAAAAGCAAGAGTTAGAAAAGCTTGCAGTATAGAGAGAAAGAGAGTTGGATATGTTTTGATAGAGTTAGGTTAAAGGAGAAATGTAGAAGATAGAAGAGAGGAGAGGGTTGATGAAAGAGAGATGGAGCACATAGAAGGGAGGAGAGGGTTAATGAAAGAGATTGAGCAGATAGAAGGGAGGGGGGGTTTTCAGGAAGGTTGCCGGAGGTGCTAGATTGACAGGAGACAAAGAACATGTACATTTTCCAAGAGAGAGCAGTCACTTCCCTTAGATGTTCGAATTAACACATTTGTGATTTCCGAACTGCACGTTCTTCTACGAGATGGTCTTTTTCTTGCTTGTTTTTGCTAATTGTGGCATGGGTCGCAGTTAGCATATTCTTCCATTACTAAATTTATTTTGAATATTTTTGGTATTGAAATAGGCAAAATGAATTGGCACGAGGAGTTGCTATTGTTCCTCCGATAAGAAAACATGGAAGTTTTTAATTTTTCAAATAAAAAACCTTGGAAGTTTAGTGTTGACAGTGGGTGCAATGAAACAGTAAAAGTAAAGGGCCCAGCATAAACAAATGATAGGTTTTAACCATGGTTATTTGGAGGACAATTTTGATCGAAAGAAACAATAGAATTTATGAAGGCAAAATTAGCAACATCTATGTCATCCGGACTCTTCAAAATGTCGTCGCACCCGTGTCGGATCCTCAAAAATTGCTTTACTTTTGGAGGATAAGACACACACCCGGTAATATTTTCGAAGAGTACTCCGAGCAACATAAAGTTACATACATAGTCTTAAACACAAATATATTTCTTTGTTAGCTTTTTGGTGCAACCATGGCCTTTGTAAACAATGTAGATTCCATGTTAGATATGATCGAGGCATTGTACACTTTGTAATGTTTAACACACTGTCTTAGTGCTGTTGTACCATTTATAAAATATCATTGCTTGTACAAAAAAAATGATAGGTTTAAACCTTAACCACTAGGTATAGAATTCATGGGATGACATAAATATTAAAAAAAAAAAAATCTTAATCCAAATTCCAAGTGGGCTTCTGAAATGCTAGTTACAAATTTCAAGGTGTAAATTCATTTATTGTATTTTCCTGCTCTCACATGTCAAAATGCATAAGAGAAGGGAAAGATTGGGAACAACCCAATCAAGAATGCATGTGGTTATGGTTAAACCACAATTGTGTTCTAATGTCATTTCTTTTCTTCTTTCATTTGACCTGTTGTGTTTTGTGTCCAATCATCAGTGTCAATCTCTATTCTACTAACTGCTGCCACAGTAGTGATAGGATGGACAAATGACTGTTATTCAT